AGAGCTAAGTCCCACTGGGGCCTGCTGGGTGGTGCGATCAGGCCTTCAGTGCAGGCACCCCTGCTCTCAAACACAGTGGTACACTGCCTCACAGAAGAAGCTGGGTCGTGCTCCGGGCCAGGGTGATCTTGGAACGCAGCTCTGAGAATGTCTCTGGTTAATTATTGGGCATGAGTCTTCTCTAATATAGTTTTTAAGTGAATGTTAATTATCTTAAAGACACTGAGATTTCCTTTCTTAAAACACCCAAAAGGGCAAGGGTCACTGTGTGTATCAGGCAAGAAGGCAGCATTCCAGTGGGTCACCATGTCAGACATGTGGCCAAAGCCCCATATTCCTTGAGTAGGGAGTATGCTTTTGGACTCCTAAGTAGTACAGTCACCCTGTGGCCAGAACTCTGAATGCCAGTCATCTCTAAAGCTGGGGCCTCCCAGAGCGGAGTATTCAGATGGGATGGAGAAATTTTTTTTTTCTCCCTCCCAACGATAATTTTATTTATTTATTTTTAAATTTTATGTATTTGGTACAGGGTCTCACTATGCAGCTCAGACTTGTAGTGATCCTTCTGTTTCAGCCTCCCCAGTGCTGGGATTACAGGCATGTGCCACCCGACTCCAGTCTTGGTGGCTGGCTTGGTGGGTGGCTGGCTCGGCATGCCCAGGGGTTGGAGCTGGCACAGCATGTGGTACTGGGGAGTGAACCCAGGTCCTTGTGCTTGCCTATGCAGGTGGGGATGGAGAAATTTGTAGCCTCTTTTACCTTATTTCTATCCCAGAACCCCACCAATAGGAGGAAAACCTCCACTCCTCAGTTCCTCCCTTTCTGAGCAACTCCCCAAATGATGTCACCACAAGCGATTTCATCTTACCCATCAGATATATTTGCTCCCTGCTCCTTAGCAGGACTGGAAGAAAGGAACAAACCTAAGAAGGAGTGGATATTCTGTCCTCATCTCTTGGGGCTCACAACCAAGTTAACAAAGAAATCACTCTCCTGCTTGCCCATTCATGCCTTTTTCCTTTTTGATTTTGAAGATAACAGCCTGGCCCAGGATGCAGCCCTACCACTGAGCCCTCTACCAAAAATTAAGGGGAGAAACAGTCTGGAAAGCCAGCGGAGCCCAGGCAGCCCTGAGATGTCAGGCTGTGTCCCCCCAAGTCCCCAGCACATCGGGACACTGCCAGCAGGACAAGGTAACATTTCCCGGGGGTCACGGGGTTCCCTTCCCCGTTACTTATGTCAGGCTCACATCAGAGCCCCATGGCAGACAGCATGTAAACTGCCTGTTGAGATGGAGAAACCAGCAGTTTCTGATAACCACGTCAGTGGAATTAAGGTCTTGAGGCTTTGCTGCACCCACAGGCACTGCCAGGCGGGGTGGTGCTTCCCTCTCCCTGGCAGCAGCATGCAGTGACACACAGCTGGGGCTGACACCCCAGGACTCAGAACCCAGTCTTCACCCTCAGGGCAGGGGAGCCTAAGTGCCCTGCCAGCAGGAAAAGTCCCCAGCAAGTAGTCATCTCCAGCCCAAGGCCAAGCCCAAGGCGTGATACAGAGTGGGGAGAACCCTGGGTGTCTCCTGGCATTGAGACAGGGCAGGGCTACACCTCCTCCAGTCCAGCCTCCCATGAAGTTCCCAGGTGAAGGAGCCAAGGAGCGACAAGGATGCGTATCTGAGGTACAGAGCAGCAGGGCAGCAGCAGCTGTGCAGGACTCACAGGAACTTTGAGCTGAAGGAAGCTGTCAAAGCAGGCATTGCTGAGAGTCAGAATTGCCCCAGAAGCTCCCAAGGAAGGCACAGCTGGAGAGAGACGGGCAGCTGTTCAGGAGGGGCAGCCCAGGCAGCTGCTGTCCTACGGGAGTCCTGGTGGAGGAGCTGGCCGTGGGCAGACTGCGTGAAGAAGGAGGCGGCTTTGTTCACAGCAGTCACACTCAGGCTGTGAGAAGCTCACATGTAGCAAGGATGTGGAGCTAAGAGCCCATGCGCACACACTGGAAGCGCACCTTGTGTTCTGCACACGCTGGGGGAGAGGATCATCTCTGTTTAATCAATCAGCTTGTCCATGCCCCATCCTTCCCATTCTCTCCCCAAAGCAGAGCTGGTGAAGTTCTTGTACATATAAATTAAATACTTAGATCACTAACCCCATTCTGTCTGCAATTCCTCAATTTAAAGCCAATATGTTCAAAATCAAGTTCTTTCCTTTCCTCTTCCCAACATTCTCTCTCTCTCTCTCTCTCTCTCTCTCTCTCTCTCTCTCTCTCTCCCTGTCTCTGTCTCTCTCTGTTCTCTGTATCTCCATCTCTGTCTCCCCCTACTCCAAAGGCATTGTTCACCCTCGCGAACCATGAGTTGGAGCCTTTCTTTCTCTGGCCTGACCTTTTACACTGTGAGGCAGTCTCACTCTTCTAATTCTGGTGTCATGTTAGCACTGCCCCCAAGGCAATCCTGGAGTCCCACAGCCTGGGACCTATCATGGCAGACAGACACACACCTACTCCTGGACATCCTCCTAACAGAACACTGATTAGAATGGAAAGCCTGGGCCATGGCTGACAAGGTGGCAGCCTGAAGGCTCCAGTGTGTGTGCATGTGTGTGAGAGCACATGTGTCTCTGAATGGGTAGTTGTAATGTGTGTATGTATAGGTCCATGTGAGCACATGTGTGTGTGTACAACTGTGCAAGCCTATCACTGCATCCAGACCTATACATGTGTGTGTATGACATGTAAGTGCATGTATACACATACTCCTGCCTACATATCTGCAATTATGCACACAGGTAGATATATATGAGATATCACATATACATACACACGTGCACATACAAGTACTCGAACCTCTGTGTGAAAATGTGTGTGTTTGTGCTTGTAAGTATGTATCATAGCTGGTGGCCTGTCCTACTTCTAGCCCACTGGTTTTGGAAATAGAGAAGGTAATATATGAAAGATTTTTTTTGTCTTTGTGTCTGGTTCCTATCACAGAGCTAAAACCCATGGAATTTCCAAACTGACAGGAGTGTCCTTTCTTCTTCATAGGGAGCTCCTTAGATAACAACTGATTTACGCTAAGAGGTGACTTAGGGTAAGACTCCAGTGTGCACATGAGCTGGGTGCGTGTGTGTGTGACAGCAGCCAGGCTCAAGTCCAGACGGGTTCTCAAAAGCACTGAGGGATAGGGAGGTAAGGCGTCGTACCCTCCCACTCCACCCACATCTCCAGGGAGAGGGGAGGAGCACACGAGATCCAGCTCTGCAGAGTGCTGGGAGGGCCCCAGAGAGGGCCTGGAAGCACTACACACCCCTCTCCTAGTTATCCAGCTGTCCACCTCTGTCCTTTATTCTATCTCAACAAGCCAACAAATGTGTTTCTCTGAGCTCTGTGAGGCATCCTAGAAAACTATCCAACCCAAAGAGAGTTGTGGGCAGCACAGGCCACCCACTGGGACTTGCCCTCCGTCTCAGAAATGGGAGAAGTCTTGGAGACTGAGCCCCAGCCCTGGGACGCTGACACCAACTGGGTGGGTAATTCAGAGCTCGGTTGAAGTACCAGATGCCGCACTGCTGTGTGCCGTGTTTGCTCAGTGGAGGAAGCCCTCCATATGTCTGGTCACAGAAGTGTTTTATGCTGAGGGCAAGGAGAGTGGCAAGAGAGTGGGGAGGACTTTTTTTTTTTTTTTTTTTTTAGCTTTTATTGTCATTTATAGAAATGCTTTCATCTTTATAAGCAACTGAGGAAAAGTTTCTTTCCCTTTATTCCTGAACCCCAGAGTCACCAAGCTGCTCCCACATTTGGTCCCAGCTATTGTTTTGTCTGCCAAACACCCCACAGAAGCACCTGGTGGCCAGGGAAGGCAGAGCAGGATCACCAAGCCCTGTGCCTGAGGGCTGGGCCACAGGCACCTGCAGAGCAGGTTCCCTTTCCAAGCTGCCCCCAGCACCCTTGTCCAGGCTGTGGAATGCCAGAGGGACTTCCCTTTCCAAATTCTTCCAAAAGCATAGCCCATCCCACCATGACCCCAAGGAGCAGGGTTTTCTTTGTACCCTCCGGACTCCTGAGCACACCAGTATCCACATGTCAGTGCCCCTGGGAATGAGGAGGGACAGCCCAGGTCTACCTCCCTCCCGTGCACCCATGCTAACATTGCCCATCTTGTAGTTCTTTCCAAGAAGATTCCTGAGATCCCACACTGGAACACTTCTTGCTGGAAACTGATGGAGACAGTGTCCACCTGTCCCCCTAGGGTCCTCAGGAGCCAAGGCTCTGCCCTCTGGTGAAGGTCAGATAATGTGTTCTAGGTCGACCTTTCTTTTGAAGGGAAGATTTTGCCAGCAGCTCCCCAAAATTCCCAGCATTAGAGCCAGCCAGTGTCTCCCTCTTGCCGACATGGGTGCTTTTGTAGCTCAGACACAATAACCCTATGTTTGCATAACAAGTCCACTCTTGCTGGGGCATCTGGAAAAAGCAGCTCAGGCCTTGTGAGAGGCCTAGTGTGCCATGCTGATGCCCGGATGGGCATGATAAAGCCCTTTCAGTATTTGCCCAAACTAAACACTGCTTACGTTCCTCTTTCCAACCACCTCCGAGGTGGAGGTGGCCAACTGTTAATCCAACCAGGTATCCTCATTATGTGCATCGGTGTGTTGCTGTGAATCATCTGGCAGCTACCAAGCAGTTTCCACAACCTTCCTGGCACATGAACTTTTTGGAAGAGAGATGCTGGCTCTGAGCAAAGTTGTTTTACAAAGGAAAAAAGAAATGAAGTCACACCATGATGAGGGTCAACCACCCAGAAAGCACTCCAAAAGACACACGTGAGCTGCCCAGCCAGCAGCCCCTCCACACGGGAAATTAAAAGCTGCCTTTGTTTGGTGGGTTAGATTGCAACCAGCCTCATGAAAAGAGGATGAATCTGGAGCTAGGAGGGTTGGCGGATCCCTGGCCTGCCCTTTGTTGGAAGAGGACCCTGGGTCCATTTCACGTTGTCCCTGTGTCCATGATTCCTCATCTGAAGTAAAAGGTGTGATTCCTCCACTGAGAAATCCCTGGGCATTTTATAGCTCCTGTCTTTTCCTATTGAAGCAGCCACCTCGTACATAGGATTCAACACCAACAAAAAAAGAGAGTGTGTGTTTGGTTCCAAATTCAGTGTCAAAGAGTCCGGCACTGCCTGGGTTCCACCAGGAGCTCAGTATAAATATATCTCCTTTCTGGATTGGTGGGAGCAGGAGGGAGACAGGGAGAGGCCTGCTGGTGTGACACAGCTGGGAAAACAGCTAGAAGGCAACTGTGATTCTGTTCACCTGCTGCACATTTGTGTACTCTGATCCAAGAGAAATAGTTTCTTTTTTGGTAAAGCAAAATCCAGAAGCACAAGAAGAAATATTCAGGCTTTAAGTTCATTGTCACCATAGTCAATCTAATGCGCTTCAGTATTCCCTGCACCTACCGCAGTCCCTGATGCATGCACAGCAGCATCACAGGAAATGTTCACAGAAAAAAACTATTGAACACCTTTCAATAACTTCAGAGGGACAGAGAGAAATGAAACTTAGCCTGAATAAATGAAGGCCTGTCTGTCACCTTGTTCCTACCTCAAGGACAATATGTTGAGTCCTCCTTCCTCTTAAAGAGCCATTCACTACCAGGTGTGGTATGGCACACGCCTGTGATCCCAGCACTTGGGAGGCTGAGACAGGAAGATCATTTCAAGTTTGAGGCCAGCCTGGGCTACACAATGAGACCCTCTCTCAAAAATAAGACATTCACTAAGGGCGGGCCAGATAGCTTAGTAGATTAAAGCGCCTGCTTAGGCAGATGCAGGAGCCAAGTATTTGAATGCTGCCCTCTCCCCGTGTTACCCTAGCACACACTGAGATGGCTATTGAGACTGGGTGTGGTGGTGCCCCTGTAATCCCAGTGCTTGGGAGGCTGAAAACAGGAGGATCACTGAGTCTGATCTGTGTAATGAGACCCTGTAAACTCTGTACTAAATACATAAAAATTAAAAAAAAAAAAAAGGCATTCACTGTGTGAATAAAATGTCAGTGAATCACACCCCTCTCTGCAGCCCTCCATCCAGAGATAGTTACTTGACCTTTGATGTTTGTTTGTGACAGGGCCTCCATCTGAGCCCAGGCTGGCCTTAAACTCACTTGTGTAGACCAGGCTGACCTCCAATTTACAGCAATCC